CTCTCTCTCTCTCTCTCTCTCTCTCTCTCTCTCTCTCTCTCTCTCTCTCTCTCTCTCTCTTGGAAACGATGAGCGAAAAAAGAATAAGTTGCGAGTAAAAAAAAAAAAGGGAAAAGAACAAGAAATTTCTTTTGGATTTTTGAAAAGGTTTTTTCCGAGTAGAGCGATAATTTTTAATTTTTCAGAAGAAAAATAGGATGTGGAATTAAACGCAACGGGTGAAATAAGAGAAAAAAAATCGAATCTTCCAATGTGTTTTTTATTCAACATTGCACATCCTTAAATACATTTGGTCTCTTTAGAGGAACATTATTGGTGGGAATTTGTTTTGCCTATTTCGAATCTCCTCTTAAATTAAATCTTATCATAACGTCGTATTAATGTATATAAAACGTACAATTTATTTACAAAGGTACTCTCGATGGCAGTGCTATCGACCCGAAACAACGTAAAAAAAAAAAAAAAAATCGCTTTACAAAATTCGCCTCTTTCCGATTTGCATAATCTCACCACTCGTCTCGCTGGTAAAGAAACAACGATGTTTATTATACGACGATAGTTCGATCATTTCTCGAATCCTCGAGTCCAATACTTTCGAGAAACACCGTAATTTGAAGGGCGCCGTTCGAAAGAGACTCCCTCCCCTCCCCCTTTGTCTCTTTTACGTTTCTCTGGTCGCTAGTCTGCAAATTAGAAGCGAGTTATGATAATATCGTCTAAGACGAGCACGCGAGAAGAAACCAACTACGCATTTCATCCACGAAACGAATGGAGAATAACGAGGTTTAAATTTGAAAAAAAAAAAAATAAAGCCGATCTTTTTCGAATTTTCGTCCTTCTAATTTACCGCCCACGGTAATTTTAAAATATCAATAAAAAGTTGTAGAATTTATATCATGATAATACTCATCTTTTTCTATGTCACGATTGAAGGAAGGAAAAAAGGCTGTTGATATATTTGTGAAAAATCTTTGGATTTTTAATATATATAATATTTTTAATATAAAGATAAATACATTGATAAAAAATTGATAACCGATTAATGTTTTTTTGCATTAAACGAAATTGACTCAGATAAAAATCAAACAAATAAGAATCTAAAATGGATCCACAAATATATCAACACTCCATGTTTGCGCGCATTACGTGCCATTATCCCCCCTTGAAGAGGTTAAGAAAACTCTTTCAGCGCGGCAGGAAGCGAGAATCTAAGAGAAACCGGCAAACGAATCGATTGCAAAACTCTGAAGAAGCATCTCTGGAAACACGTTCCGCTCGGGTGACACGATGTCTCTGTCCAGAATCCACGTTATATTACCTTATATCCACGCGAAACGAAGAAAACCACGCGTGGCGAATCCACTTTTTCCACGGTGAATAACAAACTGCCTGCGTTACCGCCGCGATCACGACCTCTATCGACTCAACACCTAACCTATTACACGAATGGATCCAAAGCGTGTCCTCTCTCGTTATTCGTCCGTATAAAATCTCGATAGACGATCGAGAATCGATAGTAGTATTCGATTATATATTGGAACGAAGACATTCTTTCGCTCGTCGTCGTCACGAACGTCTTTTTTTCTCTTCGATTGAATCTTTCTATCGGAAGAAGTTAGGCGGAAATAGATTCGTGTCGGGTCACAAGAGGTCGGTTTCTTTTTATTCGAATCTCGATTAATCGTCGCTATCGTTTTCGGACGAACGATAATTTCTATCTAGTTTAATTGAGCATGCGCGATAACGCACGACATTTCATTACGATCAGTTGCGTGGTTATCAATTATTTTTTTCATATCCTGGATAGATATTACCAAGAAGTTTAAAAAAGCATCGAATTAAGTGATAAAACGTGATATAGTAACGAGTGACCAGTTTCAAAAGTGTATTAGAACGCAATTTCAGTCGTCAGAGAGAACACAACAATGGCAATCAGAAGGATTTTGCGTAGTCATGTTAAATTATGGAATAACGGAAAACTGGATAGCGTTCGATCGAATATACGCGTAACGTATGTAGTTGTTCTCTATAAACGATATATTTTCTTCAAGAGGAGAAGATATTGGTCTTACACTTTTGCATTTTCACCCGTTGTTCGGCTCGAAGCAAAGGCAGGAGCAACAGCAGCAGCACCAGCTTTCTCACAGCGGCGTTCTGCGGGGAAGGTAACTCTCCGCCGTTCCATCTCTATCCCTCTTTTTCTCCGTCCCCCGTGTTTTCGCGTCTGCGCGCCACCATCTATCATTCTGTCAGCTAGGAGATTTCAATTTGCTCTCTTTTTGCGCCATTACCAGGGGCCGAAGCTCGCGCAAAATTGTATTTAATTGTGATTGACTGCTAAGTGGAGGTGGCCGACCACCGCCATTTGTCCTCCCATTTTTGCATATCCCTAATTGCGGGAGAAACATCGCAGAAAACCATCCAAACAACCTGTCCTCTTTCGCTTTTGTCTTCCGCTCTATTCTTTATTATCGGGTGTCATGTTCGTGGGGAATATATATCCGTTTTCGAAGGATGATCGTTGATTGTTTTCGCCTCTCGAATCGATCCTCTAAAAGAGAATATATCAACATCTCGTACGATTCAAACCGGCAGTATACATGATCGTAACTGTGATTGAAAAAATAATCGCGACGCACTGTCTTTTTCCTTAAACTGTTAACGAATTCTTTGGTTCATCTCAAAAAGTTTAATCGACGAGATTCCCGTGTTATTATTTATCATCACGGTAAATTTCCTTTCGCGAAAATTATTCGATCGATTCTTTTAATCGGAGATAAAATCAAAATCATCCTCACCAAGAAGAGAAAAGAAAAGAAAGTATGCTCGTCGCGTATCTCGTGAAGCTGTTTTTTCTCGAGCCAAAGACGAGAAACATTTTTCTATTTGTTGTTTCAGAGAAAAAATAGCTTTACTTTTTTTTTCGCTGTCGCACGGATCGATCATCGTGATCGAGAGATCCCCCATTTTTATATATATGTACACAATTACCTAAACAACGTCACAATAACTTAATTGCGTCTAATCAAATATTTACACGAATCCTACGACTAAAATACACGATAGCCACGTATACGTTTTCGATATTCGCTCAAAGCAGCGATCCCCAACCTGTTGATCGCGAGATATTTGTTTAATTTCGATTTCTTTCATTTTTCATCGCTTTACACAGAAAAAGAGAGCATCTGGATTGGAAAAAGATTGGAGAACACTGAAACTACATCGAGGCTCGTTTCGCGTATCAACGCATCGCAATCGCGATTCGATCTATGAAAAAATATCCTGGAATCCGGCAACAAGGCCGCGCGGAGGGAAAAGCATTAGCGACGTGTTTGCGCGCACCAATTATCGCTAATTAAACTATCGGGTGGGAACGAGATCGATTCTCGTCGATTTTCGAATCTTTCCCTTCAACGTTTCGTCATTTACCTTTCAACGTCGATCAAGCGTCGCGACATCGTTCCTCTTCAATCGGTCCAACGTAAATTATCCACTTGCAAGTTTCATCGAGCAAATTTATCGAATAGAAGCGATCGCTGGACGATTAATCGCACGTTTTCGCGAAATGTTCCAAGTTCACTCTCTTTGCAGCAACTCGTACAACGCCGCGATATAAGTCTGCGCCATTTGCAGAGTCTCGAACTTGCTCAGCTTTCTGTCGTTGCCCAAACTAGGTACCACGTCCCTCAGCCTATCGAACGCGTCGTTCAGACTGTTCATCCTTCTTCTTTCCCGCGCGTTCGCGGCCAGCCGTCTCTTCCTCAACACCTCTATACCAGGCGTCGTCCCGTTTTTCATCCTGTTGTGATGCACGCTCTCCCTTGTCTTTTCACCGGACGTGTATTCGATCTTCCCCTGGTACCTGGCCGTGTCGCGCTTCCCGCCCTCCCCCTCGCCCTGCTCGACAACGTAGCCCTCGTTCCTCTGCACATGGGTATACGTGCCACCCAAATAAACAATGTCGCCTCTTTGCCCATAAGAGTTCTCCCCGCTATTATTCCTAGCCAAAAAACCATCACCTTTCGGGATACCGAAGAAACTCTCCTCGCTCTGCCCAACGAAATCGCACCTGTCGTTCCCCAAAGTATCCGTGTTGCGCTGATGATGATGATGATGTTGCTGATCTATTTTTGACGGCACGTTCTGTTTACCATCCTGACTGGTGGTGGAGAAATCGGCACGGGCCACGGTCACACATCCGTCGTAAACGTTCGCGCACTCGTTCTTCTCCCTCATCGTCCTCGAGTTGCATCCGCTCGAGGAGTGGCCGATTTCGTGATCACGATGATGATGATGATGATGATGATGGTGGTGATGATGATGATGATTATTATTGTTATTATGATGATGATGATGGCGATGATGATGATGCTCGTTCCGGCAAGCTTGTTGTTGATAGTAAGGGGACTCGTAGAACTCGGTTTCGAGGTTGAAGGAAGCGGGGGTGGCGGCCAAGCGGAAAGTGGCGTTCGTCGCGCCGATCTCCTGGTACTCGCGATTCTGACAATCGACCGAGCTCACGCTCCCGCAACTGCTACCCCTAGATCTCGGTGGTTGAGGGTATATCTCCTGTTGGGCCCAGCTACGCGGATTCGATTCCGGGCTACTCGCCGACCCGTAACCCTCCGAATCCAACACCTCGTATTGCTGGAAGCTGGCGTAAGTGGTCATTCTCGTGAAATTCTCGTCTCTCGCTCTTTCTCTCTCTCTCTCTCTCTCTTTCTCTCGCTCTCTTCTCTCCGATATATATATGTATGTATGTATATATATATATCTATATATGACGATTCAACGCATAATAAAAACACTATTACTGTTTTTTTTCTCTCTCTCTCTCTTTCTCTCTCTCTCCCTCGAGGAGGAGGAAGAGGAATTATCGTTCGTTCCTCTCCTTGATTAAACGAATTCCGTCATTTCGTGCGGAAAAATGGTAAAAAAAAGGAGAGAGAAAAAAAAGAAAGAAAACTTAAAGGAAGTTGAAAATTTGGAAACGAGGAGAGATCATCGTTCGTTAGAGGGGAAAGGAGTCGCGGAGAGGATCGCGAAGGATGAATGGCGTTATATGGTTCGCGTACGGAAGCGTTGCGTAAACTGACTTTAGAAACCGGGGATCTCGTGGTCTGGACCATGCTGCCCGCTTTTCTTAGGGCCCTATGGTGGGGAACGGAGGACTCCCGGGGCCCACGTGGAAGGGATCCCCGTGGAGGAGTGTGGAAGGGGTCGACAGGGAAGTGGGCATCTCTTTGTAGAAGCCGCGCGACCGGACACGCCCCTCGTCTTCCTTCGTCCTTCTTGTTCGCTGGGGGCTCTCCTTTCGCGGCCGGGGAGAGGAGAGACGAGAGAAAGAACACGAGGCGCCGCGTTCCTGCCGCGCTTCAGACGCGGCAACCGCCCCATTTTTTCTTTCTTTCTCCCTTTTTTTTTTTTTCTTTCTTTTTCTCTTTCTTCCTTTTCTTTTCTTCCCTTTTCCCTCTCTTCCATCCTTCTCCCGACGCGATTCCACTTATCGAATTATCGCCAAAAATTGAAACGGACGAACGACCGCTAATTTTTTAATCCTTCTCCCCTCTTCTTCTTTCTCCTTCTCCTCTCTTTCTATCCACCGAGTCGAGAAGATAATTTCTATAGAGACTACAAACGTGTATATTTATATAAAATTAGGCAATTGATTAGTTATTTTAATAGTAGTGAAAATTCTATCCTATGTTAATTTTATATATATATAAAATTTTTAATTTAATTATTTTATTTTTTTTAATTTATTATTTTTTTTAATTTAATTATTATTTATAATAATTATTTAATTTTATATATATATATAAAATTAGGCAATTGATTAGTTATTTTAATAATAGGGAGAATTCTATCCTATGTTAATTTTATATATATAAAATTATATATGTATAAAATTTTATATATATAATATATAAAATTTTATATATATAAAATTAGGCAATTGATTAGTTATTTTAATAATAGGGAGAATTCTATCCTATGTTAATTTTATATATATAAAATTATATATGTATAAAATTTTATATATATAATATATAAAATTTTATATATATAAAATTAGGCAATTGATTAGTTATTTTAATAATAGGGAGAATTCTATCCTATGTTAATTTTATATATATAAAATTATATATGTATAAAATTTTATATATATAATATATAAAATTTTATATATATAAAATTAGGCAATTGATTAGTTATTTTAATAATAGGGAGAATTCTATCCTATGTTAATTTTATATATATAAAATTATATATGTATAAAATTTTATATATATAATATATAAAATTTTATATATATAAAATTAGGTAATTGATTAGTTATTTTAATAATAGTGAGAATTCCATTCTACATTAATTTTTCTTCTCTTCCAATATTAATTTATCAATTGGAGATGATCTGCAGTTTAAACCTAAACTAATGTTTTGTACATATTTTCAATCATATCTGTAATTCGATAATTTATATTAATTTATATTAAACTATTAATTACCGTGTCTTTTTTTTAATTACATTTTTGTTTTTTGTTGAAAAAAACACATTAATTACATACACATATATCTCTGAAAAATTAAATATTTTAAGAATAATGGAAATATTTTAAAAACTTGAACATTGATGAATTACAAGTAAATTATATTGTTTGTAGATAATAGTGCATCTTTTTTTAAAAATATCGAATCAATATTTTTTATTATATGATAGAATAAAACAATAATGAAATTTATAAGAATCGATTAATAATAAAATCCGTTTCTAGAGTATTGTCATGTATATAATGTATTTTCTAAAATCATTATTCAAATATTATCGAAATTATGATAATATACACATTTCTGAATATCAATATTTGTAAAATAATTATCAAGTTAACAGGTGTCATACATTAAACATAAGTTCAATTTAGGTATATATAACAGTATAGTGTATATAAGAAAAAAATATTTGCGAAATAACAGAATGTTACAGTAATGAGTATTTATCGAATTTTCGAATATACTTCAATTTTCTACATGTTTGTTTTTTAGATTATTTTGTAAAAAAAAAATGAAACAAAATATTCGATCGTTGACATTTTTCGATAGCCTATCGTTAGTTAGATAAACTGTCCACCACATAAAACTGCGTTGACATTAGATTTTTTTTTTATATTTTAAAATACCAATTCTTCGTAGTTTTATCTACTATAAACATATGAACGTTGCTCGAACGAAATAAAAGTTCGAATGCTCAACGCACAATATTTGGTAAGATTTTGTAATATAATTATCGATATAAAAGAAAAATAGCAAGATTTATTTAATAAAAAAATAGAAAGAAAATATTATATGGAATCTTTTCTAATTTAATATAGATAATATATTTTGAATAAAGCTATAAATTTATTTGTTAAATTATATTTCAATTACTTTCAGAACAATGGATACCACGTGGACTCTAAGATTCATCGTTTGCCTTCTTTGTTGTCGAGCATCTTTGGCAGAACTGAAACTTGTACAGACGATATTTAGACATGGAAACAAAATGCCATCTAATATCAATTTTTATCCTAATGATCCTTACATTAATTATACTTACGAGCCGGCGGGAGAAGGAGGTTTAACAAATGTACGTAATAATAACATTTTTTAATCATTTTAATTAATTTACGATATTATGTACGATATACATAATTTTTCTTCCAAATGTTATATAAAAAAAAAGAAATGAATTCGATTAAATAACACGAATTAATTGTGGACAAATTTTAATTTACGTAGGTTGGTAAAATGACCATGTACAAAGTTGGCCAATTCTTTCGAGAAAGATACGAGGATTTTTTGGGAGAAATTTACACGAAAGAAAATATTTTGTTTCGCTCGGATGAAGTAGATAGAACTGTAATGAGTGGACAACTCGTGGCAGCTGGACTATATCCACCTTCCAAAGAACAAAGGTTCTAAATTAAATTTAATGGTTGCCAATTTAACAAACTATATTACTATATAAGGTAACTTCATAAAAATTTACTTTAGGTGGAATCCAGACTTGAATTGGCAACCTATACCTGTATGGACAATACCACGTACTATAGATTGTCTTTATAATACTCAGTTTTCTCCAAGATTTGATATGTTGAGAAACATAGTGGAAGAAACGGACAAAGATGTGATACAATTTGAAAAAGACAATAGAGATGTTTATAAATACTTGTCTGAACACACAGGTGGTAATATCACACAATCAAAAGTATTTTCATTATATCAACATTTATTCGATCAGGTATCTTTTCAACTTTTGAAATTAATTCGATAGAGATTGAAAATAATTAACATACTTTTTTTTTCTATATAGAAAACGTAAATAGAAATAATTTTTTTTAGAATAATATTGGTTTGGAATTACCAGAATGGACGAAATCAGTTTTTCCTCACGGAAAACTTGACGAATTAGCTATATACGACATTTTGATTCGTACTCGTACTCTGGAATCAAAACAAATATCAGGCGGTAAATTTAAATTTCGTTGTCATTCTTTTCTTATTTTTACGGAAAAATAAAAATTCTAAAAATTAATACAATGTGATTTCATCAATTTATTATACTATTAATAATTCTTTCACTCGACAGGAATATGGATTCGCGAATGGTTAAATCATGTTGATGATTATATAAGCAAGAAAGATAGGCGAAAAGCGTTTATGTATGCGGCACATGATCTAAATATCGCATGTATACTTTCTGCATTGGGCAATTTCAATAACGAAATTCCTTACTATGGTAATAGTCTGATGTTTGAATTACACAAAGACGATAACGAATATTACGTTCAGGTAAAAAAAGTATTTTCTATAAAAAATAAATTGATACAGAATATTACTTTTGAAATTGAAAGATGATCAGTAAAAATGATTAAAAAAAAAAATCACATAAAATTAAAACTTTTTAAAATTAATTTCTATTATTTTTACAATTAGATTTATTATTACCATTATTCACAGGTGCTTTATAAAGATAAGGATAATATTCGAGTTCTTAAATTTCCTAATTGTGATAAGATGTGTCCATTAAATGAATTCAAGAAATTCGTAGAACCTTTAATATCGATTAATATGGAAGAAATATGTGGACAAAAA